TGAAGGGCATAATCGAGATTTAAACATGCCATTGAAAAGTTCAATGAATCTCAAAAGAATCTAGGAATTTCAATTCATTTAAAACCTAATCTTCAATTTCGTTTTTCATGGTGGAAATTGGTAAATCATCATTTACCTACCTTCAAATATTTTACAATTGGATTACGGCATCCGTCTTCCGAATTATAGAATATTGTGTTGGATCCTAGCATTAATATTTCATTTGGGTATTATATTAAGGATCCTTATCTAATCTAAACTTTGTCTTTCTTTTCAGATGTCTACTCCAAACAATGCTTCAAACCCAAACTCTTCTGGCTCTTTCCCCCTCATGAACTTATGTGGGAGGGTCATCTTTGATGGATCGAACTTCAATGATTGGATTCGAAACATTCGAATGGCCATTCGCTAAGAGGACAAAGAATATGTTCTCGACAAAGAGATAAAGGAGATTAATGAAAACACTACTACTCCTGAACAGATTGCTGAATATAAGACTCATGAGAGGGACGCGACAAAGGTGTCGTGTATCATGATTGCTACCATGACTGCTGAGCTTCAAAAGTCCTATGAGGATTTTTAGCCCTATGAGATGCACCAAGATTTGATGGAAAGGTACCATCAAAGTGATCGACAGGAAAGGTATGAAATCATTGCCTCCATGATCATAACAAAAATGAAGGATGGAGAGTCCATCACGGCCCACTTGCAAAAGATGCAAAGGTTTGTGGACCGCTTGCTGAAGTTGAATGTTAACTCCGATGAAGAGTTGCCTATTGACATTATCCTAAACTATTTACCTCCTTGTTATGATCAGTTTCGTATGACTTATCATATGAACAAGGAGGAAGTCACTCTTAGCAAGCTTCAGGGTCTTTTGAGGACTGCTGAAAGCAGTTTAAAAGGTAAGTCTTTTGTACCCACTCCTACTACTGCTTCTCCTGTCTTGGCAATTTGTCACACCCCCAAATACAAACTACGGAAAACATTCGGGGATGGATGACTTCATGTATAGTATCACAACAATGCACAATAGTAATCAAAGTACAACATTCATTACATTGATAAAGTAAAATATTACATTCGTGTTCAAATCATTATATATTTGACACCAAAAAAAAAGTATAATTAAAAGACATAATTATAAGGAACTCCGTCTTCCTCAAAACTTGTAGGTACCTGTTTATCGATTCCCTAAAAATACAAGTAGTTTTGAAAAGAGTGTCAACAATTAAGTTGGTGAGTTTATAAACATATTTGTAATTGAAATTTGTAGATTGTTCCTTTGACGTATGTAAACATGTTTTTCCCCAGAAAATTCTATATTTTCTGTTGTATATATATTTGTGTTCTGAAATAGCATGATATAGTTTTAAATTCTCATAAAATTATGAAAAGTAAGTTTTCTCTGTATTAGAATAGTATCCTGTATTTGTACTTGTATAAAGTTGTAAATATCTAGATTTACCCTTTATAGTTTTATTTATATAAAACTATGTGAAGTTGTAAACATATTATTCAATACCAAATCGTGAGTTATCATAACCATGCTTGATGACCTAAGTCTCGCCTGAAACACGACGTTCTTCAGGCGTCGAAATATGATACGACAATTGTCACCACAGGTCTGCCGACGTAGCTGTTGCAAGCAGCTCTGGTGCGGGATTGTCAGTCCCGTATATATCTATACACAAGTGTCACGCTCTCCCTCAAGGAGACTCTAGTTATAATATTCAGGACTTTTGTTTTATACTTAAATAAGTACTTGAAGTGTGTCTCACAAACGCTATATTGATAGTTATGTGTAGAATACTGAAAAATATCTTTGTAATAGATATATTGTAAATATCTCATAAATTATATTAAATATAATTTATATAGTTATTTTCATAGTTACTTTGGATATCTAGAAAGCATATGTAGTTCCATAAAGTGTATTGATAAATATGCATGAACCATAAATTATACCTATTATAATTTATATGTTTATTGTTGTAATAAGTTCCGAACCGGTAAAATAGTTTGTTTATAATAATCATAAACTAGATAATCAAATTTTGTTATTTATATGAGAAAACTTTGTATTTTACCTGTATTTTCCCCCTTAAAACATTATAAAAATAGTGAAAAATATAGGGGTATAAACTCACTTGATGAGTGGTGATTCGAGCAGCGTTTCGTTCCTAGGAAAGGAGTTTTCTTAGTGAAATCGAGAGTTTTTGATTAAAAGACGGCTTTACATGGCCAGAGTTTCTGCTTAATATTGAGGACTTCGGGACTTTGGGGCTTGCTTCAGGTGGTAAGGAGGTTCTCGGGACTTCGGAGGGTTTAAAAGGGCTTAAAGGAGTGTTAAAATGGAGAGAGGATTTGGAAATTCTAAACAAAACCCGGAGGTCTCGCATCCTATTTATAGGAGGGTTCTGGCCGTCGGTACGTTAGGCGTAATACCTCGTACGCTGGGCGTACTGCTGAAAACCTCAATACGCTGGGCGTACTTCTTGTACGCGGGGCATACTAGCTTGAGTCTTATCCGACCTTCGGATGTGTCGAGGCTACGAGGCACGCGTCGATGCTAGTCCCACTACGTTAGGCGTAATCTTTTCGTACGTTGGGCGTAGTGGCCACCAGGCTTCGGACGTGTTGATTGTGTGAGATACGTGTCACTTGCGAAGAAAGAGGCTACGTGGTCGATCCGAGGCCTTGCTTCTGAGTACGTTGGGCGTACTTAAGTATGGGGCGTACTTGTATTTTCCAAACTTCAAAATTTCATATATTTCGAGTACGAACTCCATTTTTGACGTTCTTTATATCCACGCGTAGGTGAGACTATGTTCTACGACTTTCGTTTAGACACCGTTGGCTAATTTTGAATTTATTTTTAATATTATAATTTTAATAGGTCGGGACGAGATAATTCGTTAAAAATTTCATAACTTCTTCATCCGGCGTCCGTTTTCGTCTGTCTTTTTACCGTTGTTCTGCTATTGACGAGATCTTCGATTCTTGTTTAGGTTGTGTCGGCTAAAAATCGTTCGATCTCTAATTCGAATTTTGGGCTGTGTACTGCTATATCGAATCTTAGAAAAATCATAAGTTCTTTGTTATAACTTGGATTTGGGCGTTCTTTATATTTTTGGAACGCTTGATACGATTTCTACCACTTTATTTATCTTAGACAAGTTTATTTAACATTTCATTTTTGAGGGTCGATTATGTAAATGTACATAGTATTTAAAAATTTATCTTTATTACTTTAAAAAGAACTAATTACAAGTTAATCTATACTAATACACTGATTTGAAATAACGGGTTGCTACAGAATTGGACATGGGAAGGGAAAGAAGAGGAAGACTCCTTCTAAGAGCCACAAGGGAAATTCCCATGATGGATCCTCTTCTAGTGGGACCAAAGTTGGTTCTGCTAAATCCTCCTCAAATCCAAAGGAAGCAGAGTGCTTCCATTGTCATGAAAAAGGACACTGGAAACGAAGCTACCCCAAATACTTGCAGGACATAAAGGATGGGAAGATCAAGCCCACTTTCGCAGGTATTTACACTATTCTGTCTAATAACTCATCACATGCTAATTCTTGGGTCCTGGATACAGGATGTGGTTTTCACATTTGTTCTTATTTGCAGGGTCTAAAAAGAAGTAGGGATGTGGAGCACGGGAAGATGAACTTGATCATGGGGAATAGGAAAGTGTCGCATGTCACCAATATTAGAGTTTATTCTTTATTGCTTAGTAGTGGGTTAAATTTAGAATTGAATAATTGTTGCTACTCGTCTGATATGGCGAGAAATGTTATTTCTTTTCACGGTTTGTATAAACAAGGTTTTACTTTTTCATTTAATAATGAGATTGGTGATATTAATGCTTATTATAATGGTAAATTTTATTTTGAAGCATTACCTTGTAATGGTATATATGAAAATATGATGGTTGTAGATAGCTTAGGAAATAATGTGTTGCATATTGATTCGTCCAATGGTTTGGATAAAGCATGCTTATGGCATTGTCGTCTTGTACATGTCAACAAGAAGCGCATAGCCCAACTCCAAAAGGATGGAGTGTTGGAGTATTTGACTTAAAGTCGGATGACACATGCGAATCTTGTTTGCTTGGAAAGATAACCAAGTTACCCTTCACTGGTTCATGTGCAAGGGGTGAGGGGTTTGTTGGATCTCATACATGGCGATGTGTGTGGACCCTTCAGATCCGCCACAAGGGATGTTAACCGCTTCTATGTGACTTTTACCGATGACTATAGTAGATATGGGTATATTTACTTAATCAAGCATAAGTCAGAAACCTTTGAAAAGTTCAAAGAGTTTAAGCAAGAAGTGGAGAATCAATTGGGCAGGAAGATAAAGATGCTCCGATCCGATCGAGGTGGTGAGTATCTTAGTATCGAGTTCCACGACTATCTTAAGGAATGTGGACACTACTAGAAAAACATCCTTTTACGACGCGCAATTTACGACACGTATTGATTTATGTTACGCAAAAGAGAGCGTCCTTAAAATAGCGTCATCTCTTCAAAAATTTTAAGGATTTACGTCACGCATTATTGCGTGCCCTTAATTTAGTGTCTCAAGAAAAAAAATTAAAAACACGGAGGGCGCTTTATCTTAAACGCGCGTCGTCTGTACCTGTCGCTTTATAATTTTAATGAAACTCACGTTTAATAGACAAGGGGGGAAACGAAATCCCTGAAATTTTGAAAACCCGCCTCGTTCTTTCTACATTTTATCTATCTTTCATCTTCGCAATCGACTCTCCTCTCTGATACTCTCTCCTCTAGATCTCCCTTCATTTTTCTACCTCCCGTGTCCCTATAAACCCTAAGCCGTTGCCACCTCCCTTCTCTCTAGCACGTGCTAGGGTTTTATTTTCTTCCAAGCTTCCGCTTCTCTAGAACTGGCATTTTTTTTTGACTTTTTTCGATTTCTTTGGAACTGGCGTTTCACTTGGCATTTCCTTTCAGCAAGTCGTTAACCATGGCTTTGCAGATTGCGAGATGCTTCCTCCGAATCCACACAGCGGATGAGGTATTCACAACCACCTTCAGGAACCCTACCAACAGGCTTTTCTTGCCGACCGATCGGAGCTATTCTTCTAGCTCCTCCGATCTCATTTGCGTCACTCTCTTCCCCGACGACGGTATTGGTCCCGAGATCGCAACCTCTGTCAAACAGGTTCAATTCCGCCTTCATTATACTCAATATATTGCTAAAACCTGATCCTTGTTTGTTTAACACAGTTTTGTTATTCTTATGCTGTTATTTTCTTTCATTTTTAGGTTTTTATAGTTTGGGGTTTAAGAATTTCGTATTATCATTCTACTGTTTAGTTGGTATAGATTCAATTTAGAATAGTAATCGCTATTTAAATTATGTATGTATGTTGAATTTGCTTTTCTCATTATGCAGATATTCAATGCTGCAGAAGTCCCAATTAAATGGGAAGAACATTACGTAGGGACAAAAGTAGATCCCAGAACCCAAAGCTTTGTCACATGGGAAAGTCTAGAATCTGTAAGAAGAAACGAGGTTGGATTAAAAGGTCCCATGGCTACACCAATTGGAAAAGGTCATCGTTCCTTGAATCTCACTTTAAGAAAAGAACTAAACCTGTATGCAAATGTCAGACCATGTTACAGTCTACCTGGTTACAAAACTCGATATGATGATGTGAATCTCATCACAATCCGTGAAAACACAGAAGGAGAATACAGTGGTCTTGAACATCAAGTAAGTTTATATCATCTTCATATAGATTCATCATTCATATCATACATGATACATTCAAATCAATGTTATGCAAATTCTGATCTTCTATAGGTTGTCAGGGGAGTTGTTGAAAGTCTTAAAATCATAACACGTCATGCAAGTTTGAGAGTGGCTAAGTATGCTTTTCATTATGCTAAAGCTCATGGTAGAAAAAGAGTTTCTCCTATACACAAAGCTAACATCATGCAGAAAACTGATGGCTTATTTCTAAAGGTATTAAATTTACATAGCTTTTACCATGTTTCATACTTCCATTACACTAAATTTTAATATTTACGATTTGATCTCACTATTAAAAATCCGATCTTTTTCCCTAAAACATTAAGTGTGGAAGGAGAGACAGAGAAAGGAGGTTCATTGATGGGAGTGCCAGAAGAACCAAAGCATCAAATCTGAAGCATATGGAAAATGCATCAAATCTGAAGCATATGGTGATGCAGTGAGGTTCTACACTGGAGCCATGCCAGTATTTAAGGTTATTTGATCAACTTTTCATTCTTTTGTGTTTTGTCATATCAGATGCTTATAAAACCATGCAATTCATTTATCTTTTTGCTCTGTATGTTGAACTTTCACCAGGCATATAGGGACTCTTCATTGCAGGATTGTAAGAAAGCATCTGAAGAAGTAATTCCAGTTATCATTAACAAGCTTCAGGTATATTCATGGTTAATTTATTTATGATAATATTATTCAGATCCTTATATAGCCGTTTCGCATATATGTCTTTTAGGATAAGGTTTCTTCTGAATCTGAATGAATACAAGCAAGAGCGGAGGCTGTAATGCTTCTTAAGCAGTTAGATTTTCCCGTATGTAACTTGTGATGTCCAATCATTAGCCTACCCCTATTGTACCTGAAACAGATCCATCTGAGAAACAATGTTTGCCACAGTGCAACTATATACGCTAACGCACTTATGCATGCTGGAACAACAGTGGATACATTCTTGAGGGAGAATCTGGTAATTTCACTATATCATATCTACATACTTCTGATGGGTTTTGAGCATTCTAACACTTCCTAAGTGTACATGCAACCCTAATAACCTTGGATCTATGTTTTCTCTATATACATGCAAATTTCTTTTTCAAGGTTATTTCCTAACTAGCATGGCATGGGGATTACATAAAACATAAAAACTAGTAGAAATACATACCTTGTTGTTGCTTGGATTCCTTCAAGACTTTGTGAGCCTAGCACCCCAAATGTTGTGCCTCAAATGCTTCACACAACACCACAAAACTTGGAATAACTTGAGAGAATGTCACTTAGCCTCAAAATCGGTTATGCCCTCTCTAGAAACACTTAGTGCACATTTTGCATGCTATAGGGTTTCTTTTATAGTGTGTTATAATTAGGAGTTACAAATGTAAACCCTAATTGTCATGACTCTTCATTTCTCATGACCTATGGGTTTGTAACTCCCATAGACTATCCATGGAGCTCCATATGGTTACAACCAAACCCATAAACCATGGATCATTAATCCACCATAAAAGAATTGATGATTGTCATAATCAACCCTATATATTTAATTAGGCTCATTTTGATCACCAAATTAATACTAGATTAATACTTGATCAATACTAATTAAATAATACTATTATTAATATATTAGAACTTATAATATATTAATAATCATAAGTGCCTTATTCTCTCATTTAGTCTATCCAAGTATTGCAATGACATGCAACCCAAATGGACCATGCCGGGTCGGGTCAAGTTCATACCAAATAAAGTTATGGACTTAGACACTATATCCAACAGTCTCCCACTTGGATAAGTCTAATAACTATATTTGCAAATATGACTTCAAAACCCGACTAGCAATCGTAGCTCTTTCAAAGTCTCTCGGAACTGAGATGATGATGATACGCCATTTAAGATAAGTGATCATATAATCCTCTGTTCTCATGATATCAGCCGGACAAACACATGGAACATGGTCTTACTTATTGTCCAGCATTTGTTTCTCGATCTCTGATTTGTTTCGACATAGAACTAAATTGAACACATCAATTAGGTTCTGACCGGGCCCGGTACATAAGTCAAAACCAAATCATCGAGGGGCCCAGATATCGCTTCTATTTCTAGAAGGAACAGATAAACTTCGACTGATATACTTGTACTAACTACTTGTTGAATTATTCACAAAGGCACGTTTTATAACATCGAGTTACCAATGCGTTTTCGTACAATCAATGAATAACCAACTCATAGTCAACAACTCATATCTCTAGGTTTGAAGATTCATATGATATTACCGTCTCACGATCACTCGAGATAAATTCCATGAAGTGATGCAAGTGAGCGTGGGTTGGATCCAATACTCAGCCCTTATGAGTACTCATGAATGTTGTAGCAACCACTGCATTGTCTAAAGCACTTTAGACAAATCATACAAGCCAAATTCATGACAGTCTTAAATCAATACTTACTTCCAAAGTTTGACTGACTGTGGATGGTTTGAATAATAACATAATTATTCTAGAAGTAAAAACATGCAAAATTGAAACATAGTAAACAATCAACACAAGATAGTAACACCTTACTCATAAATAAATAACAACTTTTATTTATCATCAAATGTCAATTACATTTTACAAGTTTCAGGAATCTAATTATTGAAACTAATATCATCCTTCAGCCCAATGCGCCTCGCATGCTGTAAATGCTTAACCCTGCTCAGTCCCTTCGTGAGGGGATCTGCCGGGTTCTCATCTGATGATACCCTCTTTGCCACGAGGAGTCCTTCTTCTATTCTATGTCTGATGAAATGGTATTTTCTGTCAATATGCCTAGATCTCCCGTGATCTCTTGGTTCTTTAGCCAAAGCGACCGCACTTTCGCTGTCACAGAAAATTTCCATTGGCTCCTTTATAGCTGGTACAACTCCAAGGTCTCCGATGAAGTTCTTTAGCCATATCGCCTCTTTTGCTGCCTCGCTTGCTACTATGTACTCTGATTCACAAGTTGAATCAGCTACTGTCTCCTGCTTGGAACTTTTCCAAGTAATTGCCCCTCCATTTAGGATAAAGACCCAGCCTGACTGAGAGCGGAAATTATCCCTATCAGTCTGAAAGCTAGCATCACTATATCCTTCCACTCTCAAGTCATCACTGCCCCCGAGGGTAAGGACCCAGTCCTTAGTCCTCCGCAGATACTTGAGAATGTTCTTTACCGCTGTCTAGTGTGCCTTGCCAGGGTTCCCTTGATATCTACTGACCATGCTCAAAGCAAAGGCCACATCAGGGCGAGTACAAGTCATAGCATACATGATCGAGCCCACAGCGGAAGCATATGGTATATGACTCATTTCAGCTATCTCAGCCTCTGTACTCGGACTCTGAGTCTTACTCAGCTTGACATTACTCTGGATTGGTAATTCTCCTTTCTTGGAATCTTGCATGCTGAACCTCTTCAGTACCTTATCCACATAAGTACTATGACTAAGTCCAATTAGTCTCTTACTCTTGTCTCTTAATATCCTTATCCCTAGGATATAGGCAGCTTCCCCAAGGTCCTTCATAGCGAAACACTTCCCAAGCCAAGACTTAACCTCTTGCAAAGTTGGGATGTCATTTCCTATGAGAAGTATGTCATCCACATACAACACCAAAAAGCTGACTATACTCCCACTGGCCCTAACATACACACAGGACTCATCCTCACTCCTAGAGAAGCCAAACTCTCTGACCTTCTCATCAAAGCAAAGATTCCATCTGCGAGACGCTTGTTTCAATCCATAAATGGATTTCTCAAGCTTACACACTCTATTAGGGTATTTTGGATCGACAAAACCCTCTGGCTGAGCCATGTAAACATCCTCAGCCAACTTCCCATTAAGGAAAGCGGTTTTGACATCCATTTGCCATATTTCATAATCATGAAATGCAGCTATGGCTAACAACACTCTAATAGACTTAATCTTAGCTACTGGTGAGAAGGTCTCATCATAGTCAACTCCCGGAGTTTGAGTAAAGCCCTTCGCAACCAGTCGTGCTTTATAAGTGTGTACTTTCCCATCCATGTCGGTCTTCTTCTTGAAGATCCATTTGCACCCAACTGTCTTACGACCTGGTACATTGTCAACCAAGTTCCACACTTGATTGTCATACATGGACTGAATCTCACTGTCCATAGCCTCCTTCCATTTAGCAGGCTCAGGGCCTGCCATGGCTTCCCTGTAATTATTAGGTTCATCCAAATCTATTAGTGTACTATCACTAATAAATGTATCACCTTCAGTGGTGATGTGATAACCATAATAAAAATCAGGTGTGTTCCTCACCCTAGTGGAACGTCTTGGAGGTACAGACTCATCTATCGGCTCAACAGGAGTTTCCTCATCAGGTTGGTCGATAGTATTTGAGGTTCCTTCACCGCTTGACTCTTGAAGTTCTTCAAGGTCAATTTGCCTCCCACTGTCCCCTTGGCTTATAAATTCTCTCTCACGAAAGACTCCTCTTCTTGCTACAAAGACCACATTATCACTGGGTCTGTAGAAGAGGTAACCAAAGGATCTTTATGGGTAGCCGATGAAAATACACCTCTTACTTCGAGGTTCAAGCTTATCATGAGTCTCACACCTCACGAAAGCTTCACAACCCCAAATCTTGATGTGTTCCAAATTGGGAACTTTCCCAGTCCACATCTCGTGAGGTGTTTTGGCAACCTTTTTAGTAGGGACTAGATTAAGGATATGGGCGGCAGTCTCTAAAGCATACCCCTAGAAAGAGATTGGTAACGAAGCTCGACTCATCATGGAACGAACCATATCCAACAAGGTTCGATTACGCCTCTCAGCCACACCATTCAACTGTGGTGTCCTGGGAGGTGTCAATTGTGAGACAATCCCACATTCCTTAAGATAGTCAAGGAACTCAATGCTAAGATACTCTCCTCCCTGATCGGATCGGAGCATCTTGATGTTCATGCCCAATTGATTCTCAACTTCCTGTTTAAACTCTTTGAACTTTTCAAAGGTTTCTGACTTATGCTTGATTAAGTAAATATATCCATATCTACTGTAATCATCAGTAAAAGTCACATAATAGCGATTAGCATCCTTTGTAGCAACTCTGAAGGGCCCACACACATCCGTGTGTACAAGGTCCAACAAACCTTCACCCCTATCACAAGTACCTGTGAAGGGTGACTTTGTCATTTTTCCAAGTAAACAAGATTCGCAACTATCATCTGACTTGAGGTCAAATGATTCCAAGACTCCAGCCTTTTGGAGTTGGCCTATGCGCTTCTTGTTAACATGTCCAAGACGACAATGCCATAAGGATGCTTTATCCAAGCTATCTGAAGAATCAATACACAACACATTATTTCCTAGATTGTCTACAACATTCACAGCTTCATATACACCATCACAAGGTAATGCTTTAAAGTAAAATACATCATTGTAATAAACATTAATAGCACCATTTTTATTATCAAATGAAAATGAAAAACCTTGTTTGTACAAGCCATGAAAAGAAATAATATTTCTCGCCATTTCGGGCGAGTAACAACACTTATTCAAATCTAACATTAACCCATTATTAAGCAATAAAGAATAAACTCCTATCTTGGTAACAGGTGATGCTTTCCTGTTGCCCATGACTAAGTTTATCTTCCCGTGCTCCACTTGCTCACTTCTTCTTAGTGCCTGCAAATCAGTACAAATGTGAATACCACAACCTGTATCAAGCACCCAAGAATTAGCATTGGATGAGTTGTTAGACAATATTGTGTAAATACCTGCATGGGTGGGTTTAACCTTCCCATCCTTTACATCTTGCAGATATTTGGGGCAGCTTCGCTTGAAGTGTCCCTTATCTTGGCAATAGAAGCACTGTGCTTCCTTTGGGTTTGAAGAAGGAGTAATGGGACCTTTATTTGTCCCACTTGAAGAGGAACCATCAAGAGTCTTACCCTTGGTACCCTTTGAAGGGCTTTTCCTCTTCTTACCCTTTCCCTGCCCAATAGCCAGAACAGGGGCTGTTGAAGGAGTAGAAGTAGCAACCGCTTTACCCTTAAGGCCATTTTCAGCTGTCCTTAAGAGTCCTTGAAGTTTGCTAAGTGTGACTTCCTCCTTGTTCATGTGATAAGTCATACGAAACTGATCATAACTTGGAGGTAAGGAATGGAGAATGATGTCAATCGCCATTTCCTCAGGGAAGTCAACATTTAGCTTCAGCAACCGGTCAACGAACCTTTGCATCTTCTGCAAGTGACCGGTGATGGGTTCACCATCCTTCATCCTTGCGGTTATCATGGAGGAGATGATTTCATACCTCTCCTGACGCGCGCTCTGATGGTACCTTTCCATCAGATCTAGTTGCATCTCATAGGGGTAGAAATCTTCATAGGATTTTTGAAGTTCGGGAGTCATGGTGGCCATCATGATGCATGCTACTTTAGTAGCATCCTTTTCATGTGCAACAAACTCCGCAAACTCTTCAGGAGTAGCAGTGGCTTCATCCACAACCTTAAGCTCCCTATCAAGGACATATTCTTTGTCCTCATAGCGGGTAATCATTCTGATGTTTCTGATCCACTCATTGAAATTGGATCCATCAAAGATGACCTTACCACACAAGTTCATAAGGGAAAAGGAGCCTGTTGGGTTTGAGCCAGAAGCATTGTTGGAAGACATCTGAAAGGAAAGAAAGACAAGTTTCATTAGATTAAGAATCCTTAATAATTCACCCAAATGAAATATTAAGGCTAGGATCCAACAAACTATTTATAGTTGGAAGAGGGATGCCGTAATCCACACTATAAAATATTTGAAGGTAGGTAAATGACGATTTACCAATTTCCACCATAAGAATGAAATATTTTATTATTAGGTTTTATTGGTTTTGAAACTCGTAGATCTTTTGAGATACATTGAACTTTTCAATGGCATGTTTGAATCTCGATTGTGTCCTCTCAAGTTTGTGACTGGGATGCCGAGGATCACAAACAAGGTGTGAATAACCATACAAATTGACTTGGTACCCTCAACAATATTACCTAATCGATGTGCCGGTTAACCACACACGCTCCACCGATCTATAATAAAGTCAAGTTACCCTTTGCCACACTTACTAGTCCATGTTAGTGTGCCGGTTAACCACACACGCTCCACTAACGACTTGGTAAGGTACAAAGTGTAATTTTATGGGCTAGCACCAATTTCACATTTTCCTAAAGTAACTAAGATTGGGAATTTATAATGTATAGTTACTTTATAATTCATTATACTTTTAATGAGTATTTAAAGTCGTATCCTACCCGTTCGGCTAACGACCCTCCACCGATCAAGGAAGCGGTGGGTGAGAGTGGACACCCATTAAGTCACCATTTTATAGGCAACAACCTTATACCCCCCTTATAGACCGGCTTCGTGAATGAGGCCTACTTGCGGTAAGAATGACATATTCTTATACCTATCTATATAATAAAATTATAATAATAGTATAAGTGTTGATTTTTAAACTTTTTAAAAATCTAAGGTTTAATTTGGAATTAAAGTATTAAAGTGTAAGACTTTTCAAATTCCAAAACTTGAGGGCAAGATTTGAAACTATTCCAAGTCTCTTCAATTTGTAACTTATGAGTTTTAATGGTTCATAAAAATGAAGACTCTTTATTTTATGAAACCTCTTTAGTTCTTTAATCACAATTTAAAGAAGTGACTTTTGGTTATCCATAACTTGAGGACAAGTTATGGACACCATCATTGCCATTAAGATCATGAATTAAACACACATGGAGGTTACACATAATTCCTATGATCTTCTAAAACTCATAAGAACACAATTTCATGTCAAGCAATTTCAAGAAATCATATAAACATATACAATACTTGAAAATTGATAAAAGTCATGTAAAATGGGTTAACATAATCATTATCATTTTGAAAAACAGATTCTACAAGTCCAAAACAGATTGGGATAATGATTTTAATCCATTTCCAGCAACAAAACTCGAAAAAACTACTCAACACGCTCCTACTCGTCGAGTGCATTATCCTACTCGACGAGTACGATGAATTTGTTCATGGACTCGGCGAGTCCTCCCCATGAACTCGGCGAGTCCAGTCGTCAGAATGCAGAATTTTCGATTTTCAAGCAGTTTTGCATCAAGTATACAGAAAACAATCCTAGGCTCTGATACCACTGATGGGTTTTGAGCATTCTAACACTTCCTAAGTGTACATGCAACCCTAATAACCTTGAATCGATGTTTTCTCTATATACATGCAAATTTCTTTTTCAAGGTTATTTCCTAACTAGCATGGCATGGGGATTACATAAAACATAAAAACTAGTAGAAATACATACCTTGTTGTTGCTTGGATTCCTTCAAGACTTTGTGAGCCTAGCACCCCAAATGTTGTGCCTCAAATGCTTCACACAACACCACAAAACTTGGAATAACTTGAGAGAATGTCACTTAGCCTCAAAATCGGTTATGCCCTCTCTAGAAACACTTAGTGCACATTTTGCATGCTATAGGGTTTCTTTTATAGTGTGTCATAATTAGGAGTTACAAATGTAAACCCTAATTGTCATGACTCTTCATATCTCATGACCCATGGGTTTGTAACTCCCATAGACTATCCATGGAGCTCCATATGGTTACAACCAAACCCATAAACCATGGATCATTAATCCACCATAAAAGAATTGATGATTGTCATAATCAACCCTATATATTTAATTAGTCTCATTTTGATCACCAAATTAATACTAGATTAATACTTGATCAATACTAATTAAATAATACTATTATTAATATATTAGAACTTATAATATATTAATAATCATAAGTGCCTTATTCTCTCATTTAGTCTATCCAAGTATTGCAATGCCATGCAACCCAAATGGACCATGCCGGGTCGGGTCAAGTTCATACCAAATAAAGTTATGGACTTAGACACTATATCCAACAACTTCATCATTTTACTACTATAATAGCAATGTATGTACATTTTCTTTACACATATTTGTAACTAACTTATAAATCTTTACTCATAATAGCAACAATGCAATCCCTAAAAAGAACATCCGTTGCTTATATTTGTAGCAAGATTTATGAGCATTTTGTAAATGTTTTATGTTTGGATACGATTTCAGGATTGGCTAAGCAGGGCGACAAATTGGGCTAAGTTCAGCATGACAGCTGGACTAGGTGTTATCCATGGAGGTCATTTACAGCAATGAAGATCACTATGGCACCTTACCTTCCACAAAGTGGGGCGGGTGGTGGTGGTGGAGGTGGTAGTCCCTATTCAGAAGGGGCTGCACTTTATGCTCTTGGTTTAATCCATTTACAGCAAGGAATAACTATTTTATTCTCTTGAAATGGTTAATCTGCTTGACCCTAAAAAGGTTTACTTTGATTCAAGACTGATTGCTCTAACTAATTGCCCTAAAAAGCATCACAAAACCCTTGATGTGGTACTTGTTCAAGAAACTGTTGTTCTAATTCCTGATGATACAGAAAGAGTAAGCACTTTTACACTACATTTAGTTTATACCTAAGATCTTGATTTTAGATTAAAAAAGTTTCAATTTTGGAGTAAACATGTTAAAGATCAAAAAGCATAGGGACCATTTTTGTAATTCAATTAAAAAGTTGCTTACTTTGAATATGTAGGTGTGGGGGAAGAAGGACAAGGAGAATCTTATTTTGATGGAAATATATCATTTTTTTGCTTCAAGTTGTAAAGAATTAAGATGCAGAGGTAATAATCATTATCTGAACTAAATTGGATGAAAGTGAAGTTGATGGAGCTCTTGCAAGAATTTTACAAGTGCTCAAGCGAATCTATCATATGTTCTTTCATTATTTTATGAAGTAGTGCAAGTTCTATTAAGAGGAAACCCACATAATCCCTTGTTTCCTTTGTATGATGTGTCTTCAAAGGTCTGAAACTGGGAGCCTGTTGGGATTCTTCCTTCCAGCTGATTGTATGAGAGATTAAAGGCGGAAAGGAATGAAAGAGTCGTGAGCAATGATGGGATCTCTCCAGTTTGTTTGTTAGATGACATGTCCAATGATTCAAGCTGACTCAAATTCCCAATAGATGGTGGGATAGGGCCTGTGAAGTCATTATTTGATATGTTGAGCATATACAGAGCAATGAGTCTCCCAATTGTGGCTGGTATTTCTCCTGAAAAATTGTTACTTGAGATATCAATGGATGTGAAGATTGTCAGGATTTTCACCAGCTCCAACTCAAGTCCTTTGATTGTTACTGTGACAGTATCCTGCTAGTACAAGTTATTACGTGACAGCCTTAGGAGTACTAATGTTGAAGTTGTCCAGTATGGCGCTTGTTTAGGCCTAGGGTTAGCAACTCTAGGGACAGCAGATGAAGACATTTATGATTAAATAAAAAGCGTCCTCTACACAGACAGTGCTGTTGTAGGTGAAGCTGCGGTTGTTGATGGTGGGGACCGCTAGTGAGAAGGCGGTTGAGATGTTTGTGTATCCTCATGAGACATAACATGAAAAGATCATAAGGTGAATTAAGAATTTACAATTAACACCTTTTAATATTATGTTAAATAGTAGTTAGTTATGACATTATTTTGGATTTGTTTAATGTTAGGGGGTTGGCATTAGGGATTGCACTTACTGTTTATGGAAAGGAGGAGGAAGCGGATACTTTGATTGAGCAAATTTGTAAAATGTTTTTTTTCCTACAGATTGCAGAAGGGGAGACTTCAGAAGTTGATGCGAAATACCGAGCATTAGTGGCTATTGGATCACTAGTATGTTAAATTTGAATGAAATGAATAAAAGATTTAAAAATATGTGTGTATTATGGTATGGTGGTTTATATTTATGATAGATTGGTACTTTAAAATGTTAGCGAGGTGGGTTATGACTTTCAATATCTATTGGAGATAGAGATGTTGGGGAGTTCATTATTCCAGTTCCTCATGTCAAACAAGTGAAGGTTAGTTTTGTAATTAAACTCAATTTATTTCTCTTTTTATTAACAACTTTTATTTATTCATGATCTTCAGCCATCTTCTGCTAGTAGGCGGCTTGTAATTTCAAGTTATGGAGTCTGGGATGCTCTTTCCGGTGGACAGCAGCCCAGTACAGTACACCAGGTCATGACAAACTAATGATAGGTGAAACAAGAAGGTGCCCCTTTATAGCAATGTAGTATTAGTTATATAGTTAGGGAAAACCTCTTAATAACAATGTACAATTAGATCCCTTTAATATCAATGTATTACAATTTTTTGACATGATGTTATTGGATGAAATTTATTGTTTTGGTATATATTTTTTTTCTATATTTTTGTATTATGCGTAAAAGAGTATTGTAAAGGCACGTCGTATATACATATTGTAAATGCTTGCTGAAGTTTATGACACGCAAATGTGTGTCATCTTCATTTATGACAGGGGTTATAATGATACGCAATGCGTGTCCTAAACGCGCATCGTAAGGTTACGACACGCAAATGTGTGTCATCTTCCTTTATGACAGGGCCTTTCTTGATACGCATTGCGTGTCGTAAATGAGCGTCGTAAATGCGTGTCGTAACTGCGCGTCGTAAATGCGTGCCGTCTATAGACGACGCGCAAAAGCGTGTCGTCTCTCGTTATGACAGGGCCTTTCTTGACACGCATTTGCGCGTCGTCTGAGTGTTTTACGACATGCATTGTGCGTCGTAAAAGGCTGTTTTTCTAGTAGTGGGAATTATTTAACAATTGACGCCACCCAACTTAATGGTGTGGCTGAGAGACGCAATCGAACCTTGTTGGACATGGTTCGTTCAATGATGAGTCTTACCTATCTCATTCTGGGGGTATGCCTTAGAGACTGCCGCCCATATCCTTAATCTAATCCCAACTAAAAAGGTTGCCTAAACACCTCACAAAATGTGGGCAGGGAAGGTTCCCTTGTTAGCACATATCAGGGTCTGGGGTTGCGAGGCTTTCGTAATGCAAGAGACTCACGACAAACTCGAACCTCGTAGTGAGCATTGTATTTTCATCGGCTACCCACAAAAATCCTTTGGATATCTCTTCTAGTGACAATTTTGTCTTCGTTGAGAGGAGAGGGGTTTTCTGCGAAAGAGAACTTATGTGTCAAGAGGAAAGTGGGAAGCAAATTGACCTTGAAGAGCTTCAAGAGTTAAATAATGAAGGAACCTCAAACACTAGCACTCAACCCCAGGAGGAAACTCCTGTTGAACTGATTGACGAATCCTTATCTCTGAGGCATTCCAGTAGAGTTAGAATGGCAGCTGAGTTTTATGGTTTCCATATTACTACTGAAGCTGATACATTTATCAGTGATAGTACGCTGGTAAATTTGGATGAACCTAACAACTACAAGGAATCCATGGCAGGCCCCGAGTCTGCAAAATAGAAAGAGGCGATGGACAGCGAAATTTATTCTATGTATGACAATGAAGTTTGGAAATTGGTTGACATGTGACAGGTCGTAAGACGGTCGGGTGGAAATAGATCTTCAAGAAGAAGACCGACATGGATGGGAAAGTACACACATATAAGGCATGATTGATTGCGAAGGGCTTTACTCAAATTCCTGGAATTGACTATGACGAGACCTTCTCACCAGTAGCGAATATTAAATCTATAAGGGTTATGCTAGCCATAGCTGCATTTCATGATTATGAAATATGGCAAATGGATGTCAAAACCGCTTTCCTTAATGGGAAGTTGGATAGGAGTCATCCAGAGGGTTTTGTCAACGCAAGGTAAATAAGGTAACAGTGAAGAATCGTTATCCTCTCTGGAGGATTGATGATTTGTTTGACCAGCTTCAGGGAGCATCTTGGTTCTCCAAGATTGATCTGCGGTTAGGTTATCACCAGATGCGAGTCAGGGACGACGATGTGCAGAAGACAGCTTTTCGGAATCGTTGTGGTCACTATGAATTCGTGGTGATGCCGTTTGGGCTCACCAATGCTCCAACTGCGTTCATGGATCTCATGAACCGCGTGTGCAGACCGATGCTGGATCGGTCTGTGATAGTCTTCATAGATGATATCTTGGTTTATTCCAAGACCCAGGACCAGCACGAGGAGCACCTGCGGGAGGTGCTACAGACACTGAGGAGGGAGAGACTTTTCGCAAAGTTCTCCAAGTGTGAGTTCTGGTTGCGCGAGGTGCTGTTTCTGGGGCACCTTGTTAACTAGAAGGGTATTATGGTCGATTCGGCCAAGGTAGAGGTCGTGATTCAGTGGGAGATTCCGAGGTCTCCATCCGAGATTCGTAGTTTTCTTGGTCTGGCGAGTTATTATCGGAGATTCAACTAGGATTTCTCCAAGATTGTTGTTCCTTTGACCCGACTGACCAAGAAGTCTGTGACATTCCGCTGGGGCCTTGAGCAGCAGGCGGCCTTCGAGACTCTCAGACAGCGGTTGTGCGAGGCACCGATTCTGACCCTGCCAGAGGGCGTAGATGATTTCGTGGTTTACTGTGACGCTTCAATCGCAGGTATGGGTGCATTACTGACACAGCGTGGTCATGTTATAGCATACGCTTTGAGGCAGTTGAAGCCTCACAAGACTAACTACCCGACGCATGATTTAGAGCTGGGGGTTGTGGTTTTCTCCCTCAAGATTTGGCGACAATACCTCTATGGGGTTTGTTGTACCATTTAAACGGACCACAAGAGTTTGAGGTACCTCATGGATCAGCCGAATCTGAACATGAGGCAGCATCGGTGGTTAGATATGGTGAAGGACTACGATTGTGAGATCCTCTACCACCCAGGGAAGGCCAATGTAGTGGCCGATGCTCTTAGCCGCAAGGCAGTGGTGACTCCGATTCGACACATATGCCTGAGGAGGACAGTGATTACTTCGTTGCTGGAACGGAACCGGGAGACGCAGGTCGAGGGTATGAAGGAAGAGCACCGAAAGTGTGAGCGGATCGTGGGCCAGGTGTCCTCATTTGACTATGACAGCCGGGGGTTGTTGACCCTGCTTCGGAGGGTCTGGGTTCCTTATTGGGGTGGAGTGCGCCAGGTTCTTATGGAGGAGGCGCACAAGTCGATATTCTCCATTCACCCCAGGGTGTCGAAGATGTACCAGTATCTTTGCCCTGATTACTGGTGGCCCTGCATGAAGCGGGACATTGCATGGTACGTAGAGTGGTGCTTGACGTGCCGGAAATTCAAGGCCGAGCATCAGAGGCCTCACGGCAAGATGCAGCCGTTGGACATTCCCGTGTGGAAATGGAAAGATATCACTATGGATTTTATCACGAAGCTTCCCAGGACCGCACGTGGAGTAGATTCGATTTGGGTCATCGTGGATCGGTTGACCAAGAGTGCTCATTTCATCCCGATCCTGGAGAGCATATCGGCTGAGAAGCTAGCCGAGATCTATGTACGTGAGGTGGTGGCAGGCCATGGGGTGCCAGTGTTGGTTGTGTCAGACTGAGACGTTCGTTTTACTTCCAGATTTTGGAAGTGGTTTCACGACGAGCTAGGTACTCGTCTTCACTTCAACACAACCTTTCACCCTCAGACGGATGGGCAGAGTGAGAAGACGATTCAGACTCTAGAGGACATGATGCGTGTGTGTGTATTGGATTTCGGCGGCAGTTGGGATACATATCTTCTGTTAGCGGAATTTTCGTATAACAATAGCTACCACGCTAGCATAGCTTGACCTCCCTTTGAGATGCTCTACGGGAGGAAGTGTAGGGCCCCAATCTGTTGGGGCGAGGTAGGTCAGAGAGTCATGGGGAGTACCAAAGTGGTGCTCAAGACCACCGAGTTGATCCAGCAGGTCCGGAGCAGGCTCCAGACTGCTAGAGTCGGAAGAAAAGCTATGTCGACAAGCGCTGGTCAGACCTGGAGTTCCAGGAAGGGGACATGGTTCTCTTGAAGGTGTCACCTTGGAAAGGTGTCATCCGGTTCAGGAAGCGGGGCAGGCTGGGCCCAGGTACATTGGGCCGTTCAGGGTTTTGGAGTGGGTGGGCCGGGTTGCATATCGATTGGATCTTCCAGTAGAGCTCAGTCAGATCCACGTCACTTTTAATGTCTCTCAGCTGCAGAAGTGTTTAGTGGATGATTCCGAAGTTGTGCCGTTGGAGGATATTCAGGTAGACGACTGCCTGAATTACATTGAGAGACTAATCGCGATTCTAGACCAAAAGACGAAGACCTTGAGGAACAAGGTGGTACAGTTAGTGAAGGTGCAGTGGCAGCACCGCAAGGGCTCAGAGTGGACTTGGGAACCAGAGGAGGAGATGAAGGAGCACTACCCAGAGTTATTCGAGGCAACAGACTTCGAGGACGAAGTGTGAGACAAGTGGGGGTTGAATTGTAACACCGGATTCCTTGTATGTATTTCATTATAAATTATTCATTTTAATAGGGCAACTCGACGAGTTGGAAGTCCCAAACTCGTCGAGTAGAAGTTAGAAAGAACACGAGTTTTTAAGAAACCTACTCGACGAGTAGAGAGCCCTCAATTCGACGAGTAGGCCTGGGAGAATGAAACCCTAATTTTCAGGGTTTTGCACCCTATTTAAAGGACTTAATCCTTTCTCTCATCCTCGTATCAGCCTCCCTGAAACCCTAAATCGTTTTGTGAGATCTTTGGTGAGAAACTTGAAGTTTTGAGTGGATTTGTGTGTATTTTTGTTCTTGGTAAAGGAGTTGGAAGAACTAGAAGTCATCAAGCTTGGGGAAGAAGCATTATATTTTGGATCTCGTCCGTATTTCGCAGCTTTCTAAGGTAAAAAGTCCTTAACTTGGTGATTCATAGCTTAGATCTCTTCTAGTTTTGATTTATGGGTCCTTTTGACCCCATTGTGAGAAACATCATACCCTTCATAGATCATATGTTAAGGATTCCGATTTTTCAATAATATTTAGCCCTTAGAATCATAAAAAGAGTCTTAAATCCATTCTTGCCCAAGAAAAGGCCATGTTCATGGAAGTAGGTTGCTATATCTCGAGTTTGGGTCCATTTGAGGCGTGAAAAGCCATCAAGTCGTCAACTTTACAGGAATAGGTTATGGAAACAATATGGATCTTTACTGTTGAACTTTAGATCTGAGAAAAAAGGATGTATAGACTATAAAGGCAAGGAACTGGGCGAGTTCATAGGGGAACTCGACGAGTTCG